GGTGGGGGCCGCTCAGCACGGGGGGGGGTCGTCCAGGACAGGTGGGGGGTGGTCCAGCACAGGTGGGGGTTCTGCACTGTGGCTACAAGTAAGCCTGCTCCCACGGCCAGTTCCCAAGGCCCAGCCTCTGACCCAACCCTCTCCTCAATCCCCCTTGAAACCAGCCTCCCCTCCCGCACCTGCACCGGCCCTCTGTCAGGCTGCATCCACACAGGACGGTGTCTGAATGCGCGGGGGCTGGGGCAGGCCACGCCCTGGGAGCATGGTCGATGCATCAGGGCTCCCGTGGGCCAGCGTGCATTTGTCCTGCCCGGGACCGGCGGGCCCAGATGGTCTCTGAGCATCTGGTGGTGGGGGTGGAAGGGCACGGGTGCTAACCGGACAGCCCTAGTCCTCGGGGCCACGCCCCAGCGTCCTGACAAGCTGCTGGTAGGTGTCTCTCTCTGCCTGCCACGAGTGGTGCAGCCTCACGTACTCCCGCCCATGGGCCACGAGGTCCTTTTCTAACGCGGGGTCCCCAACCAGCCTCTTCGCGAGCTGAACAAATTCCTGCAAAAGGAAAGGAGAAGAAACAGGCGTGAGCAATTGGTGCTGAGGGCTCTGCAGACGCACTCTGACCCGTGTCTGCACCTGACCCTGGAGGAAAGGCCCTCGGGAGGGACGGGAGCCGACGTGAGATCGGGATTAGGAAATGTGCATGCACACATGCGCTCACATGCGCACACACGCACACGCGAACGTTACTGGACCCCACGGTCATGCGCTCACTCTTCTTCCCACAGTGGCAGGCCTGCTGCTGCTTTCCTTCCACTGACTCAGCCACAGTTCCTCCCCTTTCAAGTGACACGCACACAGGCCTCACGCCAGGCAAGACGACCCGCCCTTCGCTTCTCGCTGCGTGGCTTGCCTCATCCTCCCTGGCGACGAGCTTACCGGCGGGGTCTGGTATGGCAGAAACCACTAGGCTTCAGAGTCAGATCCGAGTTCCAACCCTCCTGCACTTCACGCGGCTGGGCGGGTTGGGCAGGCACTGCAATTGTCAGTTCAGCCTTGAGTCCCGTTACCACGGCGCCCGCACCACGGGGTGGGGAGCGGGCTTTGACAGCCGGTCCCGTCTGCTGCCTGACCTCACTGTGCTGACACTCGCTCGCTCGGACTCCAGTGAAGGGACGCTCCTGCCGGCCAGCCTTTAGTACAAAGCCCTGAGGACTGGCAGACACTGCCCCGGGAAGAGGAGGCACAGTCACTAACGCTGGCACTCAGGGCCAGAGCAGACTTCTCCAGCCGGAGGTCTGGGTTTCCACTCACACCCTCCCCGTTCTATGGGTGGCAGGGGGCCAACTTCCTCCCCTACTGCCAGTTCTTCACCTGAAAACCGGGGCGACAGTGCGGGCTCCCGAGGGTGTTGAGAGGGCTGACGCAAGTGAAGGGCTTAGGGCGGAGCCTGCCGCACTGGGCCACCATGGCCAGGCCCGCAGCCCGGAGCCCGTGCCCGCGCCCAGTCCAATAAAACAGCAACGCCCACGGCCCGGGCGCCATGCTTTGAGGGGATGCCGGCCTAGGCTCAAATCACTGTTAATTAAACGCTGAATGCCTTTTATAGCTAGCCATATAAATAGCAGGATTGATGAGAGTGGGATGTACTTTCATGGATACATACACCTCGTAGGAAATGGGTGTTTTTATAATAAAGATGTAACATATTTATTCCTGTCTCACAGCAGAACGACATTCTTATGAAAATTATTTGAGAGGCTTATCGCCTTGGGATATTCTTTTCTGACGCTGGTCATATCTTTGAATTATCTGATGCAGAGACTTGGGCTGAAGCCCAGCCCCCTGTTTCTCATTCCTACAGACTGTGTGGATGTTTTAGCACAGTCCTGAGTTTACAGGAGTAGGCTGCAGTAAAACACGTCTCTCTCTCTCTCTCGGCATGGGAGACTGAACAAGAAGCAAGGACTTACGTAAAGCAGAGATTCGGGTTAGGAGCAAGAGGCAGCTGCCTGTCTCCAACACCAGGGGCCAGACACGGAGGGAGGCCGCCCTGGGCCGCCGGGCCCGGCAGACAGGTGGGCGTCCCTGGATGAGCGGCCCCAGAACAGGCCAGCCGTGCACCGCCCTGAGGGCCCGGCTCAAACTGCAGACCATGCGCGCTGGGAGCGAGTAAGATGGCTGCTGTAAGCCACCCGGCTCGGGGTCTTTGTCACTCAGCCATGTGACCGGCTTCTCACCAAGCACCCAGCACTGCTTCGCCTTGGGTGGAAGAACCCCTGGGCGTATGACCGTCTGCCCCTGCAGCATTTCCTGCAACCCCAAGCGGCCCACGCCAGAGATGGTGTAGGAGACACCCCTGGCTGGAGGGAGGCAGCTGCTACAGGAGTGAGGACAGGAGGCCTCGGAGCCAGGGACACGGAGGGACATGTTCAGCTTCATGCAGAGACAAAGAGGACGTGGAGCAAGGGAGGGTGCTGAGCGGGTGAGCCCAGGGCGGAGCGCCAGGCCTCCCACACAGGGCCGTGCTCAGGCAGGCAGAGGGCACCAGGCAGGGGTGGTAAGCAGTGCGGCCCGCACACCCTCTCCACACAGCAGGCTGGGTGCAGCCCGAGTCCTCGCAGGCCGCGCCTGCCCCAGGAAGCTCATGGCTCCTCACCTCCTTCCTCTGGGCGGCAGGTGCGTGGGCCGAGCCTGCAGGGCAGAGGCGGGCAGTGGCACAGGCCACAGCTGGGGGTGCACCTTGTCCTGATGTCCCATCACCGTGCCCAGACCCCCAGGAAGGTCACTCTTGCAGTGTCATCTGTGGAGCCCTGATGGGGCCCTGTGGGGGGGTCTCTCCAGCGTGGTCCCTCTGGCCACCGTCACTGCTCCCTAAGCCACGGTCCCCATCTACAACATGCCAGTCCGCACGTGTGGCAGCGGCAGGGGGCCGGCGGGAGCGGGGGGGCGACCGC